GATCTGCCTGTTTACAGCCTCCTGAGAGCTGAGATTACAGGCACACGTCACCACCCCCAGTCTCAACTGCCGGCTCAGCGTGCCTCACCGGCAGGGCCCCACACAACAGGCACAGGGATAGAACCCCCAGATCCTGCAACTGCTTGCAGGTGCTTTAATCCGCTGCGCTCTTTGGCTGGCGCTTGTAGCTAGCTACTGAACAAACACAAACTGAAACTGCACTGAGACTTGATCTCCCTCCAGATAGAACAGCTACCAACAAGACAGTAAACAGCCACAAACACTGGCAATGTTGAGGACGGGTGGGGAAAGAACCCTTCTACACTGCTGGTGGGAGTGCAGACTTGTGCAACCGCTGCAGGAAAGCGGAAAGCGGAAAGCGAAAGCGGTGTGGAGATTCCTCATAAAGCCCTGACACCCAGTAACAAAACAGTAACAACAGCAACAGTAGCAGTAGCTGTAAGAGTAACAGAAAGCTCATTCTATTTCCCTTTAAGGGATCTTCTCAAGAGCTAAAGGCACACAGCTGGGCTCATTCCAGCACTGGGGAGGCTGAAGCAGGCTGCCTGCTGCCCAAGGCCAGCTGGAGCAGCAGAGGGAGACCCCGTCGTCGCAAAAATCCAAAATGAGGTATATTATGGTGGTACATGCGTAACTGCGCTTACACCAGCAGAGCTAAAATGGATGTGCCTTGGGCCCATAATGTTAAGTAAATCAGACACAAATGTCCCATGGTTTCCTCTTGTATAGAAACCCTATATATAAAGTAATTACAAAATAAAAGACAATAGAAAAAATATTATTGTAATCCACCATGGTCAATGTATCTAAAAGTAGCTTTAGCACAATTGCTTTATGTATTTTATGTGTTTTTGGCCTGTCAGTATGGCTGTTAATCTGTATTTATGATAATTTTAGTTTTCTGTTTTTCAGTTTTTGGTTTTGGGACAGGGTCTCACCACGTACTGCAGGTTGGCCTAGAAGTCACATATATAGCTAGGGCTGGCTTTGAACTCACGGCAATTCTCTTGTCTCAGCCTCCAAAATGCTGGGATTACAGGTATGTGCCACCAAACCCATTTTATAATTTCATAAGGGTATAGAAATCCTTATGGTGAGATAGTTCATTGGGCTAAGGTGCCTCAGGCAAGCTTAGACAAGCGCAGGGACCTTGGTTCAATCCCTGGCACCGCATGCCACATCAGCCCCACCCCCAGGGCAGGCTGAGCCCGCCAGAGTCTGGGGGTGGAGTGCCACAGGCCTGTAATCTCAGCCTGGGGAGGCTAAAAGCAGGAGAGTCACTATGAGTCTGAGTTGCGTAGTGAGACTCTGTAACAACCAAATACATTAAAAAATAATAATATAGAATAATCTGATGCTGGCAAAAAAAAAGAAGTTAGGGGAGGGTGGAGGGAAGGAGGAAAACAGAATTGACATGTTTATATGGGTAGCAAGTCCCACAAAGCGGGTAACCATTACATATTGCAAACATACACTAATGAAAATTAAAACTAAAAAAAAATTCTGAAACAGAAGCCTCACTGTGCCTTCAGGGCATTCCAAGAAGATACTGAAATCCACACAAAAGCTGGTGGGGGTCGGCGATGTAGCTCAGAGGCACAGTGCCGGCCTGGCAAGAACAAGGTCCTGAATTCAATTCCTGGTGTGCGCACGCACACACACACACATGCATATGCACACACACACATGATGGGCCTGGAAGGTCTGCTCAGTAACAACCCAGTCAGCCCAGCTTGGCCTGGTTTAAGGGCCGAAGTGCTGACCCCACCTGGAAACAGGCCTGCAGTGGCAGACTCAGGGAAGTCAGCAGAAAGCAAACAGAAATAAAATCAAACTGATCTTGACTGGTAGGTTAACAATGTAAAGCATAGGCTGGGCACAGTGGCATGCGCCTGGAATCCCAGCACTAAGGAGGCTGAGGTAGGAGGCTGGTTGAGTGTTCCAGACCAGCCTGGGCTACAAAGTGAGCTCAAGGCCAGCCTGAACTGCACAGTGAGATCGTGTCTCAAAAAGAAAAAAAAAAAATGTTTAAAATGTATAGAGAAAAAAAAAATAAAATGTATAAAGAAAAGTAATTTGAAAAATCATGTCCATTTCTTAGAAAATTAAGGCAATTTCCTTTATACCAAGTATTCAACTTACATGCGCCAGTTAATAAGAGCTCGCGACCCAATCCCACGCATCACCCTAGGACAACCTGGTGCTGCTGCATGTGCTCCAATCCCAGGATTCTCTCCATTCTAGTACCGAGTCAGAGGAAAATAACCTCCCTCTACTCTGGAAAAAAAAGTCAGTGTTTCACAAAGCCAACTTTTAGAACTGCTTCTTACTTTGCTTGTTGCTGAGACAAAATGCCCAACACCTAATGTTAAGGGAAGAAAGGGGTATTGGGCTCAGTGGAGAGCTCTCAGCCTACAGCTGGCTCCAAGACAGGGTGGACTGACGGAAGGGTCCCAGAGGAGAGTCTGTCATGGCCCCAAGGGAGGGAGGGGGAGCGTCTGTCTGCCCCTTATGTCACAGGTAGGTACCCCATCTGGGGCAGGTGCAGAACTCATGCCCTTAATCCAGCCAAAACTGGGCCAAATCAGTCATCGGACTAACTTAGTAACTATACATCCTTGCTCCCAGCCTCTGGGCTCAGACACCTCTTAAAAGCCCCCATTACTGTCTGAGGCCTTGGGGCACATCTAGACACAGCCATGATAGTTCCTTTCTCCCAAATGATCATAGAAAAGTAATCTCGGGTTGGCAAGATAGCTCAGCAGACTAAAGCGCCTCCTTAGGCAAGCTTAGGCAAGAGCAGGGACCCTGGTTTGATCCCTGGCACCACATACTGTGCCAGCCCTGCCCGCAGGGAGCGCTGAGCTGGCCACAGAGACTGGGCATGGTGGCGCACACCTGTAAGCCCAGCGCTGGGGAGGCTGAAAGCAGGAGGCTCACCAGGAGCCACAAGAGCTGCGCAGTGAGACCCTGCAAATACATTTAAAAAAGCAACCTGGGGGCCAGGGAGATGGCTCAGTAGAATAAGCGCTTGCCTGGCAAACGCAATGGCCTGAGTTCAATCCCCAGTTCTGAAAAAAAAAAAAAAAAAAGTAATCTGTATTTAATAAAACACATACCACTTATGCCATTGACAGGAATTTATTTTTCATTTACAGAAGACTGTTTATAACTGCAATTCCAATTTTTTTTTTTTTTAAACCGGGGATCAAACCCAGGACCTTGCGCTTGCCAGGCAGGCGCTTACACTGCTGAGCTGTCTCCCCGGCCAAAATCTATGTTAATGAGGACATTTTTCCATCCAAAGTAAGACTTGGGTGAAAAGGAAAGTATAGCTCAAAGGGGGAAAAAAAATTAAGCTCTCCAAAGTAGTTACGTTTCAGGTTTGGAAATTTAAAATCGCCAACTCAGGAGCACCGGTGCACCCAAGCCGCGATCTCTGA